AACTTATCGAATCGGCCTAAAATCATTCGGTCAATTTTTTACCAGATGTCCCAAAATTTATGAGAACAGCTGTAAATGAATAATTAATAAATTAGTGTTTCGATTCAAATTGAAAAACTCGATTTGATTTGGGATTGAGATGGGGAAGGTAATCATTTAAGAACACAATTATCCTCAAAGTAATAATTAAATGTAAGACCGCTCAAATCTGGTTAGTTGGTTAAATGTCAACATTTTGAGTTCATACGTGGAAGGTAGAGAGGATTTAAACGAATACATGGCAAAGAATATTTGGTAAATATCATTTGTCAGTTTTAATTGATTTTTTTCTGTGTCTTGAATAGCATGTTTAATTTTTTGGGACAGTGATCAATTTTAAACGGTCAAAAGCAAGATTATATACATTTATATTCTTAAAGAGAAATTAACCCAAATAAATTTTCTATCATGTACTATTTAATTATTAATCGATATTTAAAGTAAGTTTCAAGTTTATAATTTTTATTTTATAAAATGTATCTCATTTTAGATTGTTAAGGTTAGTGACTTGAATCGGTTGGTTAATCGATCCGAACCGGATAATTTCGGTTAATCGGTTGAGGAAATTTTTAATATGTTGACCCGGCACAACCGGTTGAGAATTGGGTAATCGGTTGGTGGGAACGATATAATATGAAATGACGTAAGGAGAGTAAAGGTTCCGAAAAGTTTCGAAAAGAAAATAAATGAACATAAAAGGCGAGACAAAATTTGAGCAAAGCTACGAGAATTTTCGAAGGTAGTGATATTAGTTTTAACCGGTTGGCAACCGGTTTGGATGATATAGTTTGGTTCGGTTAACTGATTAAGGAAATTTTTCTCGGTTCGAATCACTAATTAAGGTTACAAAACATAGTTTAGCTAATAATATAGCACACACATTTTAATTTAGCGGCATTAAATTTAATTAGGATACTGCACAACATAGTTATCAGTAAACTATACACTAAACTTCTGAGTTCCTAATGCAGTCACAATGTATATAAAATTTAAGGTATTACAGAAGAATAATGGTTTGGAGTACAAATTATAGCACAGCATTTTGCTCAAAGACTTTGTCTTTTTCATATTTATCTCACTTGTCTTCATCAAAGATTTTGTCTTTCGCGGAGTTTTGTCATTTTACACGATTATTCGCCAATTATGCGTATTCGCCTTTTAAAAAGTCATTTACAACTTTTTTTAGGCCATTGGAAACACTGCAGAAGTTAAAACATTAACTTTACGACAAATACGAAACAAGTGATTAAGTGTATGCATAAATTGTGGCATGTAGTTGTATACTTTAATTTTACTTATCAAATGACCGGAGTTTTTTGACAAGAAAACTGCCGGACAAAGATTTTTTTGTCCGTACATACAAACCCCTTAAACTGTTGTACCAATTTCTGTTTTGACATACAAAAATTCTCGCTAAACGACCCAAGACAAAATTCGAGTTCGTGGAATTTTATAGTACACTTATTGATTTCTTTTTTTTTTTTTTAAAGCAAATTTACTCAGTGAGTATTAAGATCTTTTATAAATAACTATTTGAACGTAATAGCTTAAATTTTTGCTTATTAGATCGTACTGGTCTTGCAATGTACCACACGTTGTACAACTATCCTTATTGACTAGACTAAAATAAGTAATCAAACCATAAATACATACAATACATATTTAACTTAGTTGGGAGTAAGGTTTTAAATAGAGCACTTCAATATTTTGGATTATTGTATACGTATTTCTTATGATATGAATGTCAAATTTTTTTCATATTGTATATATGAAATTAAATCGGACTTTCAATCGTCAGACAACTATACAGTAATACCGTTACTGCATAGGATTAGTATACACTAATCATAAATATTTTTCTAATCACATGCTAACTATAACATTCAATTGACGATTCTCGGCCAACCAAATTTTTTATCTAGCATGTAATCAGAAAAATATTCACGATAATGGAAAATCTCCTATATAATAACTATAAAGTATCTCATTTAAAAATTACTTAGTAAAGTGATAATTAACAGCCTTAATTATATAATGCTTTATGTTTGGATAGTATTTTATATCTATTATGTAGTTTACTTATCATTTTGATTAAACTACTCGGTCTAAATGTACTACCCAACGCTGATTGGAAACTATAAATGTAACGTATTCACTTTGTCATTAAATCATATATTTTATAATTTGGGCAAAATACTATTTGGGTTATATTCAACACGTTTAACTATTTTATTGTTTAGCTATTTTATCATTTATATTGTTAATTGCGGAAATTGTGATTGCAACTTCACATAACATGACAAGGAACATAAAAAGGAATTGGAGTTGTATAAACTTTTAATACTACATATTTAATCATTTACTCCTAATGAAAAGTTTTTATTTTTTCAAAAGTTTAAACAACTATATCTATAAATAAATCTAAAAAAATTTTCACAAGATGCTATGAGTAAATTTCATAGAGCTTTAACAATCAAAAATAGGCATAATGATACAATCATCTAATTTAAATTGTTATGAAGAACGAATAGATGAGTTCTTTTTATCAAGAAATGAAAATGGTATTTCATTTCCGTAAATATTATACAAAATCTTTGTTCTTTAGTTATTTGTGCAAAGTATTTAATGACATTTTTGGGAATAATAATAAAATTAACTAAGTGTATCACGCAGAATTGGTCATTTGTTCTAATAGATTCTAATGGAATTCCGAGTAGATAAGTATCTAACAAAAGTGTACCTACTGCAAATTAAGATCAAGTGATGAAAATAAAGATATAAAAGCATGTCACGTAAAATTTGAAAACATGGTCAAAATACATAAGCTAGCACAATGCTAAAGACGATATTTCTCTACATAAAAAATATTTTCAAATCATTTCTACTACACAAGACCTCGAAGCGATGCTTAAATTGTAGTGATTTATATACAGATGAAAAAGGAGAATGGTGCAAATCATGTAACTCTAAAATTTTTCAACAAAATTTTCGAAATTGGACAAGTAATAATGAAAATATTGATAGATTTATTCAAGAAACTCAACTTACTGCAAAAAATAGACGATCATTTCTAGAATGGATTCCGTATGATAAACTGTTTAAAGTTACATACCTTGACAAAGGTGGGTGTGGTACCGTGTATAAAGCTATTTGGACTGATGGATACATTCGAAAATGGGATTATGAGAAAAAACAATGGCAAAGAGTAATTCTTAAAGTTAATAATGAATGGAAATCTTTTATTAACAACGAAGAAAATTCAGGAATTATTGGATATTCTGTAGCTTTAAAAAGTTTAAAAAATTCATTAAGGTTTAGTGAAAATTTTCTAGAAGAGGTTAGTATTAAATTCATATTTAAAGATGAAACTACAGTAAGACCTCCATAAGTGCACCCCCTCGGGACCATAGTAAAAAAAAAGCAAAATGTGCACTTAAAGAGGGTGTGCATTTATAGAGAACAAAATATATAGTGCTCTTATAAGTTGGGGCTAAGCTATGCCGTGCATTTAGAGAGAATTTACATAGGGCGTGCATTTATAGAGTGTGCACTTATAGAGGTCTTACTGTACTTATTATTCGCTATTTCAATAATGATATCATATAACTCACATTGCTCACACACTTACTAATAACAGGTGAAACTTCATCTACAGTGTCAGATTTCATCATTTGATCCAGTAAGAGGTTCTTCGATTGTTCCGATATACGGAATCACCTATGATCCTAATAGCTGTGAATACATGGTGGTAATGGAATATGTATCAAAAGGGAATTTACGAAACAATTTGAAAAATATAATGAAAGAAAAGTGGAATATTCGGTTGGAAAGATTATATTTTACCACAGTTGGGCTTGCAGCAGTTCATCAACAAAATATTATTCATAAGGATTTACATAGTGGTAACGTACTTCAATGGGATTGGAGCGATAAATATGAATTATTAGTTAGTGATTTGGGACTTTCACAACCAATTGATAAGTTAGCAACAAGTAATAATGGGATTTATGGTGTTTTACCATATATTGCTCCTGAAATTTTATTAAAAAATCCATATACTAAAGCAGCCGATATATATAGTTTTGGAATTATTATGTGGGAGGTTGCATTCGGAAAACCTCCTTTTAATAATGTTAAACATGATATTGAACTTGCGTTAAATATATGTTGTAATATTCGACCGACAATAAATAATCATATTCCGCAATGCTATTTAGAATTAATGAAAAGGTGTTGGGATCCCAATCCTCAAAAGAGGCCAACAGCTCTGGAGATAAAAGAAATTTTTGATTGTTGGAGAAAGTATAATAAATACGATAAAAATCTTGATAATGCTAAAAATAGAAAATTAAGACAAGCTATTTTAGACTTCCAAGCTGCTGATGAGAAAATTAAATTTTTAGTCAATGATCAAGAAAATATTATAGAGAATTGCAACCATCCTGAATCATATTATACTAGTCGTTATTTTTCATTTTCCTGAAATTAGCGATCTTATAAAAAGTCTATCAAATAATAAGTTCACTAATAATGAGGAATATATTGGTATGTAAATTAGTAAATTATTAATAATCTATTTACAATAATATTAATTATAAATTTATTATTTCAGAATTTTCTATTGCCACTACGGATGAACTACTTGCCACTTCATGAGTAATTTAATTATTCCGCCAAATTAATTCTTTTTTTTTAGTGGTTTTACAGCACACCCGCGGTTTCCAATGCAATACGTATATATTTATTTAAATTAGGGATACTTTGAAAATCAATATCAATTATTTTAGTTATTTTACTGTATAATCCATTGTATGTTCATGTTTAAAGCAATAAAGATGTTAAAATTAGGATATAAAAATATCTCAAAACTTACTATGACAGCTAGCTTTCAATCTTTAGGTGAAGATAATCATAAAGTTAAGTATATCTACTGCTTGCATTCGCATTTGCATAAACATTTAGTAAGTTCAAAAAACAATGTTATTGATCATTTTTCGCACCGTAACTATGAGCCATTTCATATAATATTGTTTGATCATTCTCTAAAAATGAAATGATTAGAAACAATACAAAAATGTATTAAACGATAGTTTCTTCAAAATTCAGAATTTTATAACTTACTGAAAATATAATTTATTAAGACAGAATAAGTTGGTACCCAGTATATGAGCTTTTAAGGATTAAGCATGTATAAAAACTTGTTTCCGTGTTACCTATCTGTTTATAAGACGATTACTGAGTCAACTGGATTACTTTTAATAATCTTTTTTTCACCGTTGGCCCGTTATGATGTAGTCATGACCAATAAATCATGTAGTTGTTCCAGTTGGCTATGTAATTGTTGAATGAACAGCATTCATTTAATTCACTGTAATTCAATTATTTTTGAAACAGGCCAAGTTTTATATATTACTGTTAACTAATAACACTCATTAATTGTATCTATTCACATTATACTTAGAATTTGTTATGTTCATAAATGCGTAATGACTAATCCTTTATGCAATTCAGTAGTTGTGTACACTTTGAGTGAATTTGAATGATAGATGGTATACAAATAAGTCATGCCATTGATAAGTATAAGCGTTGTTTGAGCTTACGAAATTGAGGTGAAAACGAATAATTTAAATTAAAATTTTTAAATTAATGCTACAGATAAAGAAAAAATGACTGTTGTTTGAAATGTAGCCTATTTTATCTGAAATTTTGAATATTTTAGTCGTCTTTTTTTTTTGGCTCTTTTAGAATTAAATTAGATTTTAGGGTTGCTGATAAATCACGGCAAACCTTGGTTAAGCACCGACAGATTTTCACTGATCAGCATAAATTGACCAATTAGATTTTAAGATCAGGTGTAACGTGAAAATCATGCGTTTTTTAAAAAATTTTAATAAATAGCAAATAACTCAAAATTTTAAATAATAAACTACTTACTTTGTAATAGTAAAAAAAACTCCTTGCTAAATTTTGGTATAAAAAAACTCCGACGCGATTATAAATTCACAATCTAACCTGAATATAATGTTTTGTTATTTTAAAAATCGTTGTTTTGAACAAATCTGATTGGTGTCGATCAGTGAAGATATGTCGGTATTACAGCTGATTTATCTGACGGTGCTACCTGCGGGTAGTTACCGGGGTACACAGATCATGTACGGTACGATTAAAAAACCAGTACTGTACTGTAGGGTACGGTACTGTATTACTATGTATATACTGTAATCGTACAATACAGTATGTATCTACAGTGTGTAAGTTATAATATACTACAAATTGTATACTGATAATAACGATACGATTTTTTTTTTTTACTTGAGTGTAAAATAGCGACACGATTTTTTTTTTACCCGATTCTATACAATTTTTATTTCAAGCAACTGATAATATGAATTTATATACTTCGAACCTATGTACTTATTCATGTATTACATTTTTACTTATGCTTATATGCTAATTTTTTTAAAAAAAATTATTTTGCAGTTTAGTACAACTAATTTAAATATTTGGCAAGCAATTGTCAAAGATATTATTAAAACGGAATTCTACCTTTTTATATAAAAAATCTTATTTAGTATTTCTATTTAATATTAGACTTAAATTATAATGCTA